AAATTGACTAATATGGCTAAATGATAACCATAGAATTTAGGGTATTTGGTTAGATTTTTAATTATAATTTTTTTGGGGGTTATATTTGCTAATTTTCCATTAAAAACGACTATTTTTATTGATCTTTTTACCACAAACCAATTTCTATTTTTGATATGAATATGAGTTTATTTATGCAAAATAAAGTACTTACAAAACATGTCTTTGGGCTATCATAAAATGTTTCCCTTGGCCCAAACCAATTTTCTTAACGGTGAAGCGGAATTTTAAATCAATTACTGACTGATAGAGTATCTTCTTTTTAAAAAATTATTGAAATAATATCACTTTGATTAATAATTAGTTAACACCATATTTTTCAACTCATAGTTTCATTTTCTTGGGTTGGAGAAAGTGAAAAACAAAAAAAAACCATTCATAATGGGGGGGATTTTCTCATTTGCAAGAATGAAGTTTGGGCTCAAGCGCATGATAATGTAAATCCAACCATCTAAAGAATGACAAAACATCCCCAAAAAAAAAATTGCTTTTGGGGAAGAAAGTAATGTTCTGAATTCCAGCATCAATTAAGAAAAACATGATTTAACCTTTAGTCTATAAATCTTAAATTAATTTATGTAAAATAATCATTACATCTTTTAACAAACAAAGTTAAAAGTAATTAATTTTTGTTATGGACCAATTGTATAAATTTTGGGTGTATACAATGTTTTCTTTATTAGTTTATTTCGTTTCCATATGTATATTTTTTTTGGAGATTCGACATACAGTATCTCTTTGTCCATTTATTTACTTGGTTAAAAAAATTAGTGGACAAAAAAGTTTAATAATTTGCAAAAAGAACTCTTCTTCTCATAGATTCAAGCGCATAACTCTCTTTTGACCAATCTAGGGTTTTCTTCTGGTTTACTTCAAAAGCTTTCTCTTAAACCCGTCTCACTCTTTCTTCAACCTCTTCCTCTTCCTCTGAAGCCTTTTTCAGGTATATAATTCTTATCTTTGAGAATTGGGTTTCTTCGATTTTCCGACAAAACACCACCTTTGGCTTCCT